TGTTGCATGATCTAGTAAAAAATCTTAAAAAGATTTCTTGAAATGTTAATTGCAGGAATCTTTGCCCTTGTAATGTTACTTACTTCTGTGGGCATTGCTGTTTCATCTATGGTACAGACTGTTCAGACCTCTCATTTCGTACAACAGGTCAAGGAAAATGTAACTAAGAGCTTGTATAAACAAAAAGAAATTAACAGCCAGTTTAAAATTGAATTGCAATGGCCTAGAGCAAAGAATATCCTTACATGATATTGCTCTACAATGTCATTATTGTACATTTATCCCAAACAAACTTACAAATTAATTCTTTGAATGTTTGGCACTAATTTAATTAAAGGGCATGAAATGATTTTATCCCCTCCACAGTGTGGAAGGCCTCCCTGAGGAGGCACTTGAGCATTCTGTATTGACCTCTCTTGCCCTTTTTGCCAAGAGGGTCCCTCTTCTTCAAATCCAATTGCCCATAGCTGTTGCCTGAGCTCTGTTCATGCTGAGGTTGAAGCCTCGTGGTGGCTGGTGCCATGGATCTGTCTCTCGCCCAATGAAGAAACCTGGGTTCCCGAAGATATGTGATTCAATGCCGGGGCCCCGCCAGCAAGTGAGGGGATCCCAAGGCAGTTGCTGGGCATGGAGGCCACAGGGGCATAGGCTACCAAGGAGACAGAACTGAACCTCACATCACCCTGCTTGGCCCCGTTGGATGGCTGGTTAGTCAAAGACGGGTAAGATTCCTCAGGGAAGGAACAACCTAAGACAGGCACAGTCGCAGAGGGGCCATCAGGAGAGAACTTGGGGGTCAACAGAGGAGGGGCACAGATCCTCACCCCCCCAATTATGCAGGGGCTTGAACACTCGCCCCTTCTGAGGGAGGTCTCCTGCCCCCATGGCTGCTGCGCTTCCCATGCCCAGCTCAGATCGGGACCCAGGTAAAGACAGAGACTGGCTGACAGCAGCTCCCCTCTCACTGCAACAGGACTTGTTTCCCATTTCTACCTTGGAACACAGGGAAAGGGACAGCTGAAGGAAAGGGCTGTGTCAGGATGCTGCCTTCTTCCCTTTCTTCTCCCTCTTTTTTTCTAAACACTTCCATGCCTTGTCGT